GGGGGGGGGGGGATAATAATAGTATTAATATTAATATTAATAATACCAATGAATCATGCATGTATCAGTGTGGCATATTTCATTTGCTTTAGGGGAATTTGATATGAGCAAGTATGAAGAATAATTTTAGTTGTACTATAGGAGATAGTTCCAAGAATCCAAACCTGTGAACAGCCTTCCTGAGTTCCTGTACAGAGAAACTCCTAATGTCTATGCTTGACCCGTGCCTTAGTGTCAGCAGGCTATGACACTACTACATTCACTTGTTTTATAGTCTATCAAACACCTCAAGTTCAGGCATGTGCTTTATGTGATGCAGGAAACACAATTGCTTCCATATCGACGTAATTTGCAGGATCCTCTTTGCGATTCAAGTATAACATGACTCAATCTATAAGATTCTCTTTATAGCAATATTTCCTTATTAGTCAATGAACTTAAAATGATCAATTTTAGGTATGATTCCATATCCCGAACCGTATCAAAGCATGTATCAACGACGTCGACTTGGAGCTTTAGGCTTCGAATGGCGCCCTACTTCCATAAAATTTGCAGTTGGGACTTCTGGTTTGAGCCAAGAATACCAAGTATTGCCCTTGGCTGATTTGGACATTGTCGCTGAACCTCTGCCTGAGTTTCTGGATGCTATGAACTGGGAACCTGAAAATGATGTTGTAAATGATGACACTGATTCAGAATACATTATCAACGAGGAATATTCCAGTGAAGAAAAGGGACATTTGTGCGGAAACTCTAGTGATCCAGATTGCAGTGAAGATGAGAAGATAAGACAAAGTCACAATCGGAGGTCAAAAAGGAAAAAATCCATTTCAGAAGTAAGTACTAACATTAAAAACACTTCTGTTGCACTGTCTGCCCTTGCATGTTTGTGAAATGTTTTCATTGGCTTTCAGATTGAGTGCGTGACCTCTTCAGGAAAGCGCATAAGGAAGAGAATAATAGACAAGGACGTTAGTTCATCAAAAAGTAAAAGAACAGGAAAATCAAGAAAGAGTCGAAAGACTGCTAAGAAGAATTCTACAAAACCAAAGCCATTGAGACCACAACGAGTTGCCACGCGCTATGCAAACAATGTTTTTCTACATCATTCTGATTTGTCTACAGGCGAAGAGGATGATGCTAGCTCAGATTACTATTCATCAGAGAATGATTCACAGGAGGGGTCATTTGTTCAGAGTGAAGATTCTGATGGCATGTTGGAGGATGACTGTGTGAAGTATTTGACAGATGAACAAACACCCGCTTCAGATGAGCTGCCAACATGCTCCCAACCACAAGTTAATGTTGAAAAAAAGAGAGGACTAGTCTTGAAGTTCTCCATTCGTGATGCTAAGAAGCCTGTGCCATTAAAACTCTCCAACACAGATTCTGGTGGCGAGACCTTTTCAGCATCTTCTTCTTTAAGAGTTGGCGAAGACAAAAATCTTGAAAATAATCACATTAAAAAGAAGTCCATGGATCTTGGATCAGCTTCCTCATGTAGAATTGATTCTGATACATCTGAAAACAAGAAAAGAGCTGAGTATACTGAGATTGAAGACCTCAACATACTGTCCGGGGATATGAAAATGTCCGAAGGTTACCAGGACACAGCGAGTGCGTCTGGAGAAGTCAAAGTAAACATTTCCAGTCAAACCCTGTCAGGTGATTTGGCACGTGCTGGTTCATTCATTGGTTCTCCTGGAAATTTTGTCAACAATATCAATACAAAAGAGCATATCAGGCTTGATAATGGATACGAAAAGGCATCTGCTGATTTTAGAATTAAAGATGAGGAGCATATGTTGCCAGGAGAAATTTGCAAGCAAAGAACCAGTGATTGCCAGGTCTCTGGATGTTCTTATAATCAGGCGCATATTAAAGCTGGGGCTTATAATAATACCTCTGACAACTTTTCTCCTCAAATGAATGGGAAGCCTAAATTGAAGCCAACCATACTAAAAATTAAATCAAGGACAATTCCTGGGGAGTTGAGAGCTCCTTTGGAGAATACATTTTCTACACCCCTGGATGTTTCTTGTGAGGATGATTCAAGACCAAGCAAGGAAAGGAATAGATTTCTAACATTGTCTGGAACCGGTAATGGCACCAACGAGCCGGACTGTTTGCAGCATGTACATCTAGAGATGGATAATGCTGTTAATGGAAGCAAGTGTAATAGAAAATCTTCAATGGACTATCTGCATTCTGCAACAGATGCAACGAGGAGAAAACGGACCTTAAGATTGAAAGCAGCTTCAAGAGAAATTGATTCTGATAACCTTTCCCAGAGAGCAGTTAATTTTTTCACATCAGATGGAGTTTCAACTTCTAGGAGCAAGGAAGAAGTTTCTTACAATGATGAAAAGGTTTATCTAAACCGCTTCACCAATGTACCAAGAAAATCAGACTGGTTATTGTTGTCAAAGAAAGAAGAGGGGTATCGCTACATACCTCAGCTAGGTGATGAAGTAGCATACTTGAGACAGGTGTGTCATCTGTTGGTTAATTGTGCTATTTGTTTCTTTTTTCCCATGTTAATTTTGTTTTAGATAGGGTCGTCCGGAACCCAGAAAATCATAGGGAAAGGACACAAGTAAGAAAAAAGAGGAGGAATTTTAAAAAGTTCTCATCAACTTTTGAGCTCCCGTATTTTTCCCAGAGTAAAACCAAATGTACAAAACCAACCCAATATAATCCCAATTCTATTGGGTCTGAGTGGTCGAGATGCATGTAATTTTACCCCTATAAAAAGCAGAGGTTTTTTTGTTAGACCCTTGATGCATTGGATACTCCATTTAAGCTAAAACATTGCAACAAAATGATTCTTTAGTTCCATTGGCAATCAACACGGGGTAAAACCAAACATACAAAAATATTTTCATTGGCCTCATTTTCTTCCTTTCCCTACTATTTTCCAGTCAGAACACAACTTTAATTTCCATGCAATTTAAAGTCATTTTCTGTGATCAATAGGGCCATCAAGAATATATAGACTCTAGCCAATCAGTGGCGCGATGCCCTTGGGAAAAGTATGGGGCAAGAATCAGAGCTGTGGAAGTCTGCTTGGTTGAAGAACTTAGTTATGCAACTGTCCCTGGTTCTGGAGAGAGTTGTTGTAAAATCACACTAAAATTCATCGATCCATCTTCTACTGTACTTGACCAGAAATTCAAACTTACAGTGCCAGAACTAAATGACTTCCCAGACTTTATTGTTGAGAAATCACGGTATGATGCAGCCGTGAAAAGATCTTGGGCGTGTGGAGATGAGTGTCAAGTCTGGTGGAGGGACGAGAATGAGGAAAATGGTGGTAGATGGTGGGATGGTAAGATAGTATCTGTCAAAGACAAATCAAATGAGTTCCCAGGGAGTCCATGGGAAAGATATGTTGTTAAGTATAACAGTGACGAAACAGATACCCATCTTCACTGTCCCTGGGAACTGCAAGATCCATATTCCTTTTGGGAGCATCCACATATTGATCCAAAAAGCAACAACAGGATGCTGAGTGCTCTCAATAAATTGCTGCACCGTGCAAATACTAATCAGGTATTCCCTCCTAATTACTACTCTCTGTCCCATTTTATAGTTACTGCAACAGTGTGACAGTTATTTACTCTATTTGTACATAAATAAAATAATACAATATAATATTTCCAAATGAATTTAATGATGTTGAATTCACAATATAATCAAATGTACTTTATGTGCAAACTTTGGTCAAGAACGGTGAACAGACAAAATAAATTGGGCAGAGGGAGTACTACAAGTAATTGGCACACTCCTTAAAACATACGGAGTAAGAAAACTAAATATCTTTGGATGTTTCAGGATTATTACGGGATTCTGCAGTTAATAAACGTAGCTGGGAAAGTAGAATATATAAACAGGTATTCTTTGTATTTATGAATGTCAATACCAAACAAGTTGATAGCGTATACTGATGAATAGAATAAAATATGATGCTTTCAGGTTTCCTGTTCCATTATCCCCTGACATAATCCACTCGAGGTTGGAAAATAATTATTATAGAAGCTTGGAGGCTTTAAAGCATGATGTCAGAGTGATGCTCGGGAATGCTAAGGATTACTTTGGGAAAAATACAGCAGTCGCAGTAAAGATGAAGCGGCTGTCAGATTGGTTTGCAGATCACTTTTCAAAACTGTGAGGTTATTATCATTCCCTCGTAATTTTTTTTTTTGTTGAAGTTCAAGGGGAATCCCTTTCCATCCCCTCTATTCTCATATACGCAAGCGGCAAGCCAATCATCACTCACACCAGCTTGCCCATAGCCCATACCCTACATTTTTATTCTTGTAGTCCATGCTACAACATCTGCAAAAAGTATGTTTAGTGTGGACTTTCTTGGACCTTTTTTTTATATTATTATCATAGCAAATTAGCAACTGGTACAACTGACACGACTAAAAATTAGTACATTCTGTCTTTCTTTTTTTAATAAAAAAAGGTCAACAGAGACATCATCATATATAAAAGTGAAAGATGCAGAAATTAGAGAGTTCTCGTTAGTTTTTTATGCTTTGTCTAAGTACTGTATAGCTGTTAGAAGATTGACAGTTGTGAGGGGCTTGGGTAAGTAGTAATCCATTCCAGCGCCAGTGATCTTGTCCATTTCCTCCTTTCCTGTATGTGCTGTGAGAGCAATGATGGGAATCTGTATCCCCATTGCTTCCCCCTTTTCCTTTATGCGCATTGTTGCCACAAATCCATCCATCACTGGCATCTAATCAATAGAAACATTAATTTATAACCATCACTGTTATCTATTAGAGTACATTCATTAGTTCAAGTACCCTTTTTTTGTAGATGTGTTATTACCCCCCACCCCCACCCAAAACCCAAACCCTCAAAAAAGAAGAAAAAGAAAAAGAAAGAAGTCTTGTTTTTTACACGGAGTACTACTTTTTAGATGGTGGGGTGATTCATTTATGAAGCAGAGAACT